CTCTGAAGGGATTTAACTTCAGTAAAGAAATTTGACATGGGAAAGCAATTTCTGATTACATAGATTTCTTTTTGCCATTTAACAGGGTTTAAATTGAATCACTGACCTAAAATATTCATTTTGAAAATTACTTCTAAAAAAATTCAGACGAAGTTGTTGCTGCTTTCAGTTTTGTTCTCTGAAGACAGCTGAATGACACAAAAATCTATCTTGCATTGTCTGCTTGTTCTAAATAATCCCTTTTAGTAGGATTAGTCACAGTATTAAATTAAGAGAAGGAGCAATTAATTATATTCTTATGAAATGAAGAAGAGAAGAATCTTTGAAACGTTCTCCTTTCCTCCCCACCCCCTCCCTTTGAAATCTAAAATTGCATTATGTGTGTTTCAGTTATGGAAAATCTTTCAGTCTTCAGTTTAAACAAAAGTGGTGGGAATGAGCAGTACATGGCACAAAATTAATTTGGATTGACTTTTAGGTATGCTAGGGGAATGTAGGGCCAAATTGAAAAGGAATGCTTGATTTATAACAACTGTTAATCCGCGAAGCAAGGCCTTGCTGCTGCAAAGAGCTGTCAGGCATTTTGGACAAGCACCTGTGCTCACCCGAACCAAATATTTTTGTGCTTAGATTTCTTTTTTGGAGCAGTTTGTTTGGATGTTTATAAAATTGAATGTGGTCCTACTTGTCCTCATCACCATGGCATGGTGTTGGTTCGTATGATAATGGTATCATGTTCGTTAAAGCCCTTTTTGCAGTGAACTTAAGGGTTTTCTCTAGCTTTTGTTACAAGGGTTGCATAAGAGCTAAAAAGCTCTGAATGTTCTTCTGTGGAAAAAAGCACGAGGATAAACTTCAGGAAGAAACGATAGTAGGTGGACAGCTAGAGAGGAGAGCAGTGTAATAATAAGGATGTATCACTAACGCTCTGATAAACTTGGGGAAAATGACCACAGATTATTAAGAGAGATTGCAAGGGCTGTGAGGGCAGGAAACACAACACTGAGAAACCGCAGTTATCCATATGTAGGTTGTGTAAATGATACACAGGAGCACAAAGCCTCTTAGAAAGATTAATCGGAGAACCCACAACAGGGGTTAAAAACTCTCATTAGTCTGAAATGGTGTATCAGGCCCACATCAATAAGTAATTGAACAAGAACCACATTATCTCACTGCCTGTAATGTGACCATAATCGAACCTCCTGCTAGGAACAAAAATGCTGTCAAAAATCCACTGCATAAAAGTTTACTAGCAAAAAGGAAAAAAAAAAAAAAAAAGTCTTACGGAAAATTGAAATGGAAGGCCAGAAGGGTAAAATGCTAGCAGATGAGTGTGGAAAGAGCTGAAAGACTCAGTGTTGAATGCTTAGTGTAGGTGTATGGCACCTATATAAAGGCTACTGTTCAGCAGATCCCTATGGAATTTATGATGACAAATGGAATGAACAGGCCAGTGATAAAGTTTGCTGGTGACATAGAGTTATTCAGGATTACTGACTGCAAAGAGCTGCAAAAAAAAAAATCTCATATGAAACTAATGACTGGGTGCAAAATTGCAGGAAAGTACTTGTGGATAAATGCTAGGTAATGTGCATAGAAAAAAATAACTGAGTGTACAGGCACAGCAGTACCCTCTATTCTTGTTCAGGAAAGAGATACTGAAGTCGTTGTCAGACTCATTTTCATTGCCCTGGAAAATATTAGCTCAGTGTTCAAACCTTGTCTAAAGAAGTATTCAAATATTGAAAACAAAAATTTAAATCCGGAAGAATAGTAGAAGATAAATAACTGGTGCATCTGTATCTTGAATTACTGCATGAAATTCAGGTTTTCTCCATCTCTGGAAGGATATAGATGAACTAGTAAAGGTCCTTATAATGATCAAAGGTACAAACTGTTTGTGCTTGAGGATAGACTAATGGGCTAGGGCTCTTCACCTAAGAAAAAAGAGTGTCATCATAAAAGTATCTTAAAAGAAGTGTATACATCGTACTGCTCCTGAGGGAAGGTGGAATAGGATCCTGGAACCTACAAATTATATTAAATTAGTGAATAGGGAGTAAATTTCTGCAGTTTTGCACAATAGGAGAACCACAGGGAAAGATTTAAAACAGAAGGAAATTAAAAAAAAAAAATAATACATAATTAAATTGCAGATTCCTTTGACATGTGAATTTGTGTAATCAGAAGTCCAACTGAATCCGAGAAAGTATCCAAGGAGGACAGGTCCATCACTGGCTATTAGACACAAGCACTAGCCTGTGGCTGAGGAAGCTTTTAGGGTGGCAAGGGGAGAGACCGTCACTGTTCTTCCCTTCTTTCTTTCCTTTTTTTTTTTATTTTTTCATTACCTGCGAGCTTCTGTATTTATTGTAATTTAGGACAAAACTAATTTTCATTTAAAGTACAAGTCATTATTACAAATGCGCTTTCAAGCATCTGGACCCTTGTTTTATAGTGTTTGGATGGTGGGAAATCACCTTAAAATATGTTGAACAGCTGGTGAAAGATTGTTCTAGGGGTGCAGCACTGACAGACTCCAGGGAGGCCTCACTGTGGTCTTTCAGTGCTTAAAGGGGGCTTGTATGAAGAAAAGATGGAGAAAGACTTTTTACCAGGGCTTGTAGTGACAGGACAGGAGCAATGGTTTTAAAATAAAAGAGGGTCGATTTAGATTAGATGTTAGGAAGAAATTCTTTACTGTTAGAGTGGTGAGGCGCTGGAACAGGTTGCCCAGAGAAGCTGTGGATACCCCCTCCCTGGAAGTGTTCAAGGCCAGGTTGGATGGGGCTTTGGGCAACCTGGTCTAGTGGAGGGTGTCCCTGCCCATAGCAGGGGGGTTGGAACTAGATGATCTTTGAGGTCCCTTCCAACCCAAACCATTCTGTGATTCAATGAAATGTCACCCCCAGTCAGCATGAGAGGAGTTGCAGGAGAAGCAGATTTGAACCATCTACACCGGAGGGGAGGGAGGAAGGCTCCTGTGGCTGCTGGGCTGCAATCAGGCCCTCGGTGAGTGTTTGTGCCAGCTAATGTGAGCCACTCCATCTCTGAAACAGCACCTTTACTGCACAGTGCAGATTGTTCAGTTTAAAGACAGTGATGCTGGTGCCTGACGGGTCTGGCTTTGATTGAAAACAATTGTGTAATAACTCGCATCATAATCTGTGATTTCAGGGTAGTGTGATGTTGCCCCATGCAGATGCTCTGTTTCCTTGAGTTACGCATTTTTAAGTGGAATACATCACCCATTGCTTTTAAAATTATCTGACAAATTTATCTTGACAACACTAAAGTATTGCTCAGCATGAGATTTTATTAATACTCTGTAATTTCTTAAATGATACTTGATACCTTTTTAATTAAAAAGGCCATAATGTTTCAATGTCAATGTCTCGACTAGTGCTAGAAGACCTGAGCTTTTGGAATTGATTTCTGTTCATCTCAAACAAGTGAAACCTACAGGCAGAGCAGCTGAATAACTAAATGTTAAAAGACCCTATTTCTTCAAAGCTTGCCTTTTGATCCTCACATTGCTGCCGAGGCTCTGAATGCATCATTCATTGCAGGGAGAGTGTTTTCCTATCTCAGCTGGATTGCACGCTGTTATTCTTTTAATTTTAAATTGTCTCTTTTTCTGAGGCAAAATGGATCCGATGGTGAATAGCCGCCCTGACAGACACAAAGAGGCTGCAGATATAGAGCTTCTGCTGGCATTTTCTATACTTATGTTTCTAGAAAGAATCGAAAGCTTGCACTTTTTTTTTCCCTTGAAAGAGTTTTTATTTGTCTGTGGAAACCAACACCTCAACAGCTTAACCAAAAATTAGTTTATCGTTGTAACCTGAAGTGGTATGCATATAAATATCTGCCCAAACTGGCACAGACATTTTCACTGAGGAAAATATAAAGTTGGACAAATATCACTAATTCCATTGCTTTTCATTTCCAACGTCTTTAATATGTGCCCTTTGCTTTCCAGCACTGTTCCAGGATTGTTTCCTATTCTTATTTCTCATGTAACATTCATTCGATGTAGCTGAAATTTTGCTGAAGTCCCTGCTGTGCACCAAGCCCTGATCACCCTCGACTTCTGTTGTGGATTGCTCTGGAGCTGCGCAGTCTGAGAGCAGGAGCCAACCTGCAGAGCTGCCGTTTGGCAAATTCCTACCAAATCTGGGGACCAATTGCCCTTTTTGGAGCAAAAACTTTTATTGAAATGAGTGTCAAATGTAAACTCAGTTCTGACTCAAGGGAAGCTGTGCTGCTTGAGTTTCGCCATCATAATAACTATGAGGCGTTCTCCATGTCACGCGTGTTTGTATGGCGGTGGGGCTTATCAAGCAAGAGTGGGATTATCTGATTTTTTGTTTTCATGATGCTAGTTAATGGCAGAAGTAGACAAATGCTAATTGACTAAGTGTCTTTCACCCATGTGCTGAGGATTTAAATGCATCCCAGGCTGATAGTGACGGTTCATTTTTCCTGCTCTGTTACTGGCGTCTGTCAATAAAGGAGGAGAAACAGTCAGGCAGTTTTAACCCAGTCCATTTTTAATGGGTATCGTCAGCAGGATGACTAGCACAGCTGTTGCAAGGACCATGTATGGCCTCAGTCTTTCAGAAGTGCTTCTTTCGGGCTGCAGATGACCAGTAAGTGAGGGTAAAAAAGGGCCAGGTTGCTTTGCCGCTGACCAAGTGGTAGCCTTGCATGGAGAAAACAAGACTGTTGTGGTGTTTATCACTGATCTGAAAGGTGTCACTTGTTTCAGTGTTTCTAAATCACTCTGCTGTGTTTTTAAAGTAAGTCAGTGTGTTATGACCTCTTTTCACATGTTAGAGATAGTACAATAATGCGCAGCACAATGGAAGATAAATGAGGTATTCCTGTGGTGCAAACCACCAGCTGCCAGTGTGTCAGAGCCAGTCCTTGTCCTTATACTCTGTATTCATTAGTGCCTCGAGGGATACTTATTCACCTTATCTGTTCTGTTCTAGTGATTCACCATTTTTCAACGGAAGAGAGGCGCATGCGAGCAATAAAAGAGATGGCTCGCATCTTGAGAGTAGGAGGCCAGATAATGATATATGTGTGGGCAATGGAGCAAAAACGGAGAAGATTTGAAAAGCAAGATGTCTTTGTTCCTTGGAATCCTTCACCTCCTTCCTGCTCCTCGCGTGAGCCTTGCTCACGTGGAGTACAAAACCCAATTCTTCACAAGGACAAAGACCTGGCTTTGAACCAGCCCTGTCATAAGTTGGATGGGACTTCAGAGGTACACAGGACAGTGAGGAGTGCATCCCGTGGAGGGGAGAAAAAAGCATCATGTGAGGTGTTAGAGAAATCTCTGAGATGGTCTCTGTTCTCAAGATCACTTGACTCGGTATTAGATGTGGGTGATCAGTGGCACCAAGAAGAGCTCATTAGATATTGCACTTACGGTGTTCAGCTGAATGAATTAAACAGAGAAAAAAAAGTTGAAAAAAACAGAGAGTGGGGCTTTCTGAAACGCGCTTCCAACTTTTTTCTACATTGCAAACAGAGTTTTGAAAATATAACGGCTTTTGAAGTAGCTGTTAAACCTGTGCTGCCCATGTCACGCTGCTCGAAGGCTTTCAGAAGCTGCTATTCAGAATTAGGGCAAGCAACTATACAGCTCCCTATGGCTGCAGATACTATTCACGGTTGCAGCGGAGTCTGTTTACCTGACCTGATTTCACATCAGAAAGAATTAGCTGTCAGACAACAACTTAAAATAGACCATCACCCAAAACAAGGAGCTTTCTGCCAACCTCAGAACAAAAGGAGAACAGGCTCTTCGCTGCAGAGAGCAGTCAATGAGTGCGCCCTGACCACGCAGAGAAGACAGCAGACGGGTCCTGGTGGGGCATGGTTGAGGTACTACCACGTTTTTAAAGAAGGGGAGTTGGCTGAGCTGATAGAGCGTCACGTTCCTGAGCTACATATTACTCACTCATACTTTGACCATGCCAATTGGTGCGTGATCGCAGAGAAGACTCAAGTGTGGAAGATATAGGGGAAATTTCCTTATTGAAATGCACAGAGAATACTTCAGGGCTTTCTTCCTTTTCAAAGCTCAGCGCCTTTGAAAATCTTTCCTGAAGCTTTTTATAGCCTTGGGTTGGTTTTGGGGAAGAGGGGTATGTACGAGGAGGAGAGTGCTTTAAAACGCTCAGGTTCTATGACTTTGTTTTCTTTGATTTTGTTCTTAAAATACATCTCTTGAAATTTTTTTTCTAGAGTTATTATTTCAGACTGAGTACGTTTTAGCACACAGATCCCTTTTAATAAACAGCTGCCAGCTGTGTTTTGTTGCTTGAAAATAGGTAAAATACAGTTGGAAGGTGATTGCTGGATTATTTTTTACATGTGCATTAAAAGTCTTTGTTGTTCATTTATTACTATATAATCATTCATGTCAACGTTTTATTTTAAAATTCATTGTACTCTGCCACTTGATGTAACATAACACGGGAAGTAATTGAAAGATGCACTATTTTACTACAGTTCACTTTGTCAGCCTGTATGATACTTCTAGTCATACGAGACAGACAGTCTTTTATGAGGATTAGTAGGTGTATAGAGCCCTCATGGCAGAGGCAGTTACTCATCACATTGTCATAGTCTAGAGATCTTTTTCATTGCCTTGTAGCAGTCACAGCCAAGAAAGCAAAGAGATATTTGCCTCCGTATATACCACTACGTGACCCCCTCCAAAAAAAAGTAGTTTTAAAAGTGAGCTTGACATGTGTGCTTAAGCCTGGGTTGCTCTTTCTCCCTGTCAGCAAAACTAGGAGGTGTCAGAAGGATTTAATATCTCATTTAAATCTGTACAGTGAATGAGCATAGCACAGAAAAGTGTTCCAGTGACCACTAGTCAATTGAGAAAATATTTATTAACATCAGCATGCAATACCAATGCTTTTATCTACAGATTCGCCTTTTGCAAAGAATATCAGAGTCATTATCCGACTTTTATAGATAAAGAAACTGAGGTAATTAACGTTGCATAAGGGTGCAACGTAGAGTAAAATTTTGGAAGAAAACCAAGCAAAAATCCCAAACAACACGTCTGCTTTGCTGATGATTATTTACGTGCTAGGGAGGTCTGTCTGTAATTTTACTTCCTGCCTTTGTTTCTGTGGATTTGTGAATCAGCAAGTCAGAGATCAAACTAGTTTTCTGAGAAATAAGCCCCTGCATGTTCTTTACGTGTGTGTCAGCAGCAGATGCATATCATGTTTTCAAACATAGCATGGAACTGCTCAGTAATCCGAGGCTTTTAGTGCAGCTTTAATTCAATTTGGATATAATATCTGTAATCACATTTCCTTTACTTCCTCCCATGGAGTTCACATCGGTGGTATCACAGTACATCTTGTATTTTCAGGTGGAAAAGCTAGAGGGCCTAATCAGTCTCCTCCATCTGTAATGACTGCCTCTGCAGTGTTCCTTTTTTTCGCCTAAATGTTAGTATCATTGTGCGAGTGAAGAAAATAATTTTCAGTCACAAAGTGTAGCTGCTGTTCGGCTCTGATGGCACTGTTCCCTTCATTTTGTGCACTTTTTTGCATTGCCAGAAGGACTTGACGGCATCTCCCTATTTTTCAGCCCAGCTTCAGGTTGCACTAAGCAGCAGCAGCACCTTGCAGCTCTAAGCCTGTCCATCATGTCTGCTCCTACAGTTCAACGGGCTGATAACCCACGCAACGCACCAGAAAAATGCCTTTGATCGTAGCTGCCAGTCCTTGCCCTCAAGCACACCTGATGTTTAATTTTCCTGGAAACGAACACAGGTATTTTAACTGAACTTGACTGGTCCTCTTGGAAGGTTTTAGCCTTCTCCAGCGTTCCCTCAACTAAAGGTGCTCGTCATCTCCAGTTCTTCCCTAGGGTGCAGTGAGTCACCACTAGATTTCTCCTACTGCTGACACCCCTGGTCTGCCTGCTCCAGGTCAGGTGTTCCCAAACGAGATCCATGTCACGGGGACAGTACTAGCCTAACTGGAAGGAATTTTAACCTCTGGGCAACTGTCAGCGGCTCTAAAAGCAATCGTCCCCTTCAACAAGGAGTGAATGTCCTTGTTTGGGATGAACCTTCTTTTGTGCTGCCTCGGTGTTAGACCTGCTTCCACACAGGATGGCTTCCACTCACGATGGTTGCCTCCGGAGGGTGCCAAGTGCTTCCTGGGATCAGAGTAAATTCAACCTCTTGCAAAGGAAGCTGCCCCAGGAGAGGGCCCTGACTACGCAGGGAAAGAAAGTAAAAACATGGATTTGGTTGGAAGGATCATGTATTAATAATTCCTCACATTTATGCATGTCACAAATGTTATACAGCCATAAGCTCTATTTGAAATTCTCATTTTGATCAGGATGCCGGGAGCAAAACCAGGACTGAGTTCATTCCTTCATTTCTACATCACAGTCTGGATTTGTAGTCCTCAGGGCAGGCGCTGCCTTGCACAAAGGGATATAGCAGGGAAATGCTCTGCACTCCTGAGCCGTGCTTGGTCCTGATTTGTTTTCCTCTTGTGCTCTTTGCTGTTCTGACCTTGATTTTAGAATAGAAAGGTACCATTTTTCTGGCCTCGTTTAGGCATCTAGACTGTAGATCTGTATGTAAGTCTAGCTTTGTGCTCCATATTGCAGTGTTAATGGCAAGAAATAGCCCCTTTAGAGGATGAACCATGAAATACACCTTGAGGAGCCGTTGGGGTTACAGAGCTCATGTTCAGCACCTGCTCATCTCTTTCCATTGCTTGTGGAAGGGGCTTAGAGAGGAGCTCAGCCTTAAACACTGATTCTTGGATGCTTCAGTTAGGAGAGATGGATCCTACCTAGGAACCTTTTAAATTCTGATCATGCAAAAAAGGAGCACGGACAACAGTAAAAATCAGACAGATTCATTCCCCACTCTGTCTTTTGGCCAAGCAGTGCTGCCTACATATTCCTATTTTGTAGGAACCGTGCAGAAAAATTCATTGTTAAGCTGGAGAAAAAAAAGTCAAAAAGCAGAAGCCTAGCTCAGTTCCTCTTTACAGCATCTGCCACTCTGAATTTATGGTCATCTGAGGCCTCACTTGTCCCAGGGACACTTTCAGAAGAGCTTCCAGTGTCTGACACTCTCTCTGATCTACCAGTGATGCTCACCTTTACAGATACTAATATTAATAAAGCCAATGTCTTCCTGCTTTTCTTTGCAGGTCCCTAAAAATTCCCCAAGGTCAGAGATTTCTCAGTTTTCTCAACAGACGGTTGCTGTGCTGTTCCTAATTTCTTTTGTGGACCCCTGGGAAATTGTCCACAGCCATCCCAAGATCCACGAGCAGAGTTTGGGGTCCTCTGTTCTGTGTGTGCCACATCAAGCACTGTCACATCGAGTCGCACGCAGCCCACATGAAGTTGGCATGGTAGCAGCAGCCAGTGCTGCTCACATCACTAGAGCTAAGGCACTGTGAGCACAGCACTGTTTATCCTCCTTTGGCATAAACAGGTTTGATGAGCGTGAGTCTGTCATAAAAGATTTTTGCCCACTGGGTAAATGTCTTTCTTCTAATCGTCTGCTAATTGGCAAACAGCTAATCCCACTTACTATCAAAATTCTTTCTCCAGAGAAAACTCAGCCAAGAGTTTCATAAATCCTTTTCCTTCATCCTTTTTAATTTTAAAAATTGTTCCAAGTATCATTTGGTAGCTATCACCTAAGGAGGTGTTCTGTTTGAGTTAATCAGCTCCTGCAAGGTTATCTGTGATCTATTTGAAAGTGCCTTAGCCAGCATCTTGCCTTCTGTCTTAATTAGTAATTACTGGCCTAAAATTGTCACTTACCATAGGCATTTGTACTGACCTCTCAAATTAAGATAGCCCGTAAAATTAAAAGTGGAAGAAGCCTTTTGGGTCACTTACTGTACCCTCCAAAGTGCATTTATTATTCATGGTGTGTGGCCAGGAACCCAAGTGTAGGGTATGATTGAGAACACTGCAGTTAACTCGTCTTTGAAATGTAAATACAATTAGTGAGTATACCTGTCTTCCCCCAGGATCTGTCCTTGTCTGCTTTGTCATTCTGACTTCTTTCTTTCTTCCTTTTGGTGGCGGTCCTGGTTTCCTTTCCTTCCTTCCTTCTCACTCAACACTGAAAAAAACATTTTGCAGAAGGATTCCAAGTGGTAAAAAGCACAGAAAATATTCCATAGATTCCTCAAAATGTGTGCTTTACTAGCTTGTCTTTCAGATCTCATTGTGACCAGGACTGTGCTAATTGTCGCCTTCATAATTTGGCACAACAAATCATTTCACATGAACATACTATTGCAAGTTTAAAAAAGAACACCAGCTTGCTTGCAGTGAAAGCCCACATTGGCAACATTTAGCTGGAGGGAAACTGTGCCATTCCCTGGCTGTCACAGGCTTCCAACTAAATGCATCACATTTAATATAGCAAAGTAAGTAAATTGTCCTAGGCAAAAACAAGAAAAAATTTTTGGGGAAACACTGGGTCAGCCAAGAGAGGGAGCAGAATAGTAGGTCTCCATCTCTCAGTCTTCAGTTGCCCCATAGCCAAACTCTGCTCTTTGTAACTGCATACAGAGGCTTGTAAAGATGTTTAAAAAAAAAAAAAAAAAAAACAAGAAAGGTATTTTAACAGTAAGCCAGGACAGAGTTGCTATAGAGTCTTTATGGGAACGTGAACAGAAAAGGCACCTTCCACAAAACCAGTCTGGCTAGTAAAATGCAGGCTTCCTACTGATAAAGACCAGAAGCTTTTTATTTTTTCCACCAGCACTTTCCCTTCACCTCCGTATCCAAGTATCTCTACACAGCTTTGCAAATTAAACTTGAAAATATCTTCTGCTGCACCCTGCTGATCTATTACATGTTGTAGCACGACCTCTTCCAAGCACAGGAACACTCATTTCACATGCAGAAAGTTGAGCAGATGTGGCAGAAGGCCAGCACAGCTGAGTGGGGATCTCCTGACCAAGCTCAAATGTGTAAAGGAAGGTTCCAATT